CAGGTCTTTTTTTTTTTTTTTTTTTTTTTACGTGTGCAAATCTGTCGAATTCAGAGCGGTTTTTTATTTTATTTAAACCACGTTGTGTGTTGAAAGCATGACCAAAACCATCGTGTTGTGAACGGCAGAGGTCTTAACTCGTCAGATTTGCCTTAGAAACTCGATATTACAGAGCCCACAGAATGATTGCATTACAGATGTTACAGTGATCTTTATATCACGATGTTACAGTTGAAGGTCCAGTCTCATGCATATACTGACAGATGTTGTTAGCAATATAAAACATATCTTATTTTACCACTTTTGTGCATTTTTATTCATTATACAAATGTTTTATTCTGAAATAGAAGATAACTCCTGTAAAGGTCATTTTAACTGCTGTTTCTCATCGGATATTTAAGACAAACCGCAAATGCATTGGTGCAACTGCTATAAGATGAGTTGGATTATCACAGTGAGGCACTTATCAGTTCACCGTTTTTAATTTGTCAATGTTGAAGCTGTTTTGCAAAGTTCTCTCTTAACTGAAAATTGTAAAACTGCCAAAACTCCATGTTGTCTCCTCCATTGTTGCTGTTGAACTTCTGTCGTTCTTTTATTCTTATGACCGAATGTAGAGTTGAAACTTCTAGATATGCATATTGTTTGACAAGTTTGAGTTTTCAGGTACATTCTCACAGACATATATATTAATCACGATTGCAAATGTGATTGCTTTTATACCACTTTAAAAAAAATAATAATCAAAAATAGTGAAAGGGTTAATTCACTCAAAAATGAAACTGTCATCAATTACAGTTGTGTCTTTCCAAATCCGTACATTGTTCATCTTCAAAACACAAAGCAAGATATTTTTAATAAAACGTGTGTTTTCTGTTCTTCTAAAAAAAAGTCAATTTCCCCAAAACTTTGATTTAAAAAGTTCAAAATGACAAAGTAATCCTCTTCAATCACTGTTTAATTCAAGGTTTCTGGAGAGCTATTATAGTTTTTATTCACATATATTGATCAATGCACATGCATAGAGCACATCAAATGTGGACCAAAAACATGCTTGCTTGATGCTCGACAACCATTGAGGGTTTTTGTATGATTGAGCAATATTTATATGATCACAAATGTAGTGTTGTCAAACGATTAATCGCGATTAATCGCATCCAAAAAAGTTTGTTTACGTAATAAATGTGTGTGTACGGTGTATATTTATTATGTATATATAAATACACACACATGCAAATATATATTTATATACATAACTCCATGTAAGTGTCCATTCATTTCCCTAAAGTGTTTAACATGCTGTGGCCATGAGCAACTATAGACAACTAATCAAGTGTTCAAGATGGAAGGCAACATTAAGTCCTGCTTTAACCTTATTCAAGTTGAAACTTCTAGATATGCATATTGTTTGACAAGTTTGAGTTTTCAGGTACATTCTCACAGACATATACTAAGAAACTGAATATGTTACAAAGAAAGAGAGATGAAACCGAGGTTAGTAAGCCTTTTCTCCTTTGTATCACCTATAATCCAGTTATTGTTCAGCTCATAATCCGTATATGCATTATTTCTTATAAATGTTTTTATTTATACACACATTAGAGAGATGCTAATAAATTTTATTTTTAAGACTGGTTGTTCTTTTGAATGCATATAAATGGTGTTTATACTCTGAAGAACCCTTTACATAACACTTAGGCTTTTCTTTTTAATTATAATGAATGCCTTTTAGAAACCAACTTTTCTGTCAGGCAGGTTATTGTTAGCAAACGGCGTTGTGCCATTTCAGGCTAAATTAGGATGTTTTGGGATAGAATTTTGAAAGGAAGCAACATTGACAGTTTTATATTTATATATATATATATATATATATATATATTTATTGCAATTCATTCAGCCAGTAGCAGTCTTAAGCCTACTAGTGTTCATGCAATCAAGCAAAATCACACAAGCAAGAGTGCTGCGGTTACAAATATTAATCACGATTGCAAATGTGATTGCTTTTATACCACTTTAAAAAAAATAATAATCAAAAATAGTGAAAGGGTTAATTCACTCAAAAATGAAACTGTCATCAATTACAGTTGTGTCTTTCCAAATCCGTACATTGTTCATCTTCAAAACACAAAGCAAGATATTTTTAATAAAACGTGTGTTTTCTGTTCTTCTAAAAAAAAGTCAATTTCCCCAAAACTTTGATTTAAAAAGTTCAAAATGACAAAGTAATCCTCTTCAATCACTGTTTAATTCAAGGTTTCTGGAGAGCTATTATAGTTTTTATTCACATATATTGATCAATGCACATGCATAGAGCACATCAAATGTGGACCAAAAACATGCTTGCTTGATGCTCGACAACCATTGAGGGTTTTTGTATGATTGAGCAATATTTATATGATCACAAATGTAGTGTTGTCAAACGATTAATCGCGATTAATCGCATCCAAAAAAGTTTGTTTACGTAATAAATGTGTGTGTACGGTGTATATTTATTATGTATATATAAATACACACACATGCAAATATATATTTATATACATAACTCCATGTAAGTGTCCATTCATTTCCCTAAAGTGTTTAACATGCTGTGGCCATGAGCAACTATAGACAACTAATCAAGTGTTCAAGATGGAAGGCAACATTAAGTCCTGCTTTAACCTTATTCATTAACCTTTGAATAGTAACTGGGATATTTTTCATCCCATAAGGAGGGACAACAATATAACCCATCAGGTCTCAAAAGGGGCACGTGCTCCCTTCAGGAGCCCTAATCCTGTTCCTGGAGCTCTACAGTGCATCAGAAGAAGAAGGATTACTGTAATGTTATTATATTTATGTTTTAAAATAATTATTGTGCATTTATAACACATTTAAAAACACACTAAGTAAGACTGCGTGATGGTAAATCTGACATCTTCTCTCGTGATTTATCAATTTCTCTATAGTTTTCCTCAAACGCATTTGTGACCGATGTAAGCAGTCACATCAGGACAATCTGGACACGTGTCAAATTATCTGTGCTCAACAGATGAAGCATGTACTGACAATGTTGTGCAGCAGGGGGCGCCAGAAGACACGGCATGGATTAAAAGTGGAATAATGTAAACATTTTAGGAGCCAGTTTTTGTCCTTGACAATAGATTAACCTAAAATGTAGTGCATAAAATTTCAAATACAGGTGCATCTCAATAAATTAGAATGTCGTGGAAAAGTTCATTTATTTCAGTAATTCAACTCAAATTGTGAAACTCGTGTATTAAATAAATTCAATGCACACAGACTGAAGTAGTTTAAGTCTTTGGTTCTTTTAATTGTGATGATTTTGGCTCACATTTAACAAAAACCCACCAACTCACTATCTCAACAAATTAGAATACTCCATAAGACCAATAAAAAAAACATTTCTAGTGAATTGTTGGCCTTCTGGAAAGTATGTTAATTTACTAACTTTTCCACGACATTCTAATTTATTGAGATGCACCTGTAAGTGCACACAGTATTTGCTTTATAATTTAGCTTTATCATGATACCACGACCAATGCATGCTACATCTTATTTTGAGTCGCGAAACACATTTGGGAGTTCGAGTAAAGGGGGTGCACTGAGAAAAAAAAAATTATACTGTTCTTGCACTATTTGCAATGCTAATGAGCATTCCCAAAAAGAATGCATAATAGAAAAAAGCAGCTGTCTGAGCTATTTTAACCCTCTGTTATGCAGCTTGCAGCTACAAAGCGTTTGCTCTGCCCACTGTGCTTTCTCTCTCTCTCTCTCTCTCTCTCTCGCTCTCTCTCTTTTGCAAATCCCTCTTTTCTGTGTGCTCCAGTTTCCAGAGAGGAATTCCCTCTTCCTGCAGCAGCACACCATTCCATGTCAGGGCTCTGCTAATGAGCTGATGACCTGAATCAGACGTGTTTGTGCTGATGAATCACTGCTCCAAAGCATCATGTTGCTCTATATTGTTTCCCCCCACATCATTTTTACTGATTTATTCCTTTGAGGTTAAATTACCGGTACTATACAGACTCATATAATTCATCCCACACCATGTGTGCTACATGATTGATACTTCATAATGCGTTGCTTACAATTTTCAGTAACACTTTAGTTTAGGGACTAATTCTCACTATAAACTAGTTGCATATTTGAATGCATATTACTAGCATATTTGCTGTTTATTAGTGCTTATAAAGCACATATTAATGCCTTATTCTGCATGATCTTATATTAGATCCCTTAATCCACTCAATACCTAAACATAACCACTACCTTGTAAACGATTAATAAGCAGCAAATTATTTTTGGTAAATATTCAGTTCATCATTATCAAAATGCTTTTAATGATTTATAACTTAAAATGTTACCCTGCAGGTTGCAATATTCAAAATGCCTATGATGCAATGTTTTTGATAATTATGTTGATTTTGCATGCTTTTTACTTTAAGTTTGCTTCATATGCATGTGTGTAGCATTGGGGGTTGCTTTTAAGAACATTTCTTTCATTTTCCAACTATAGAACTGTAAAACCTATACAAAAACAGTAATAGTATAAGCTAATACCTAAAACAAAAATTCAACATACATGTACATTATTAAAAAAAAAAAAAAAAAAAAAACTGGAAGGTTCACACAAAACATTCTGTCATTATGTGAAGACTTGCTGTCCAACTCATAAAGCATTTATAAAACAGCGTCTCTGTTCTTC